GATAAAAAAAAGAAATTTCGTGATGGAACATGCAAATATTTCTTGTTTGTTAAACTTGTTGGTAGAATAAACAGTTTGAACTGAATGAGAACGTTTTATTTTTCCAGAACTACGTTGAAACCTACCGTTAACAATATTGTGCTAAATCTCCTGACCTTCGTGGGAGATGATACACTTGTTATCCATCTGTGCCATATTCCGTACACTTCACAATAGATTGATCAATAAAAATTAAAATGTGTTCCAGGGGCCATTATTTGATGGATGCGATCTCTTTTCCATTCAACTATGTTGTTTAAAGGAATATAATACATATAATTACATTTATCTAATTGAAACAATACCAAGTAAACTCTGGAAGATGTGGTTGGAAGAGTGACATGCCTTTGAGAAATACTAGCACAGCATTCACTGTAAAGTTGTGAACTCAGTACAGGCAGTCCTTTTTTGTTTTTCATTGTTCTGATTAAGTGATCGTTAGAACAATGCTGAGCTAGTGTCTAACCACAGGATGGAAAGTGAAATAAAATTGCAGTAAAATAATTACCGTAAAAATAAAATGAAAGTAAAGATGAATACTAGTTCAGGCGCTTTATAATAATTTTGCATCCTCATATGGTAACAGACGTTACAATCATTTAATTATCAGCTTTGTCACCGACCCCAGCTGTTAACAAGGACGGCATGATTTATTAATGAAAAGTAGTACTATTAAATTCAATATTCAGAATAGTCCTATTGGTCATTTGAGGAATAAATACATTCCCCTACATCATCTTAAGATCTCTTTATATTTTGCATCCTATCTAGTTTCCCCTACTAAACTTCAGGTTTTCCAAATTTTTGATCGAAGGAACCATAATTGAAAGTATTATAAAAGTACGAGACGAGTGCATGGTGAAGTCCTATCTATCTAAATATGTGCAAAATGTGCTAGTCACTATTCACGTGTGTACGTTTGACAACTTCGGACATTCAGGGCTACTTTATACAAGAGATCAAGTATAACAAATGATGTTTATACTTCTTGTCGCATCGACGAATATCAACAATTATTATAGGAAAATTTCATATATATCCAATACTTTCTTTAGTGGTTGCACTAACGCTAAAAAGGAAATGGACAAAAGAGTCGTCCTTCCCTATATCTAACATGGAAATATGACCAGGTAGAACATAAATTTACATGTGCATTGCATGTTCATATTCGTATGTTGGTTTTTGATATTTGTCCATTTATCGATAAAAAAATTACATAGGCATTGAGCCTTCTTATTCGATTTCTTTGATATTGATACCAATAAAATGTTAAAATGAAAGATGCACCTTATTACATTATATTCATTGCGCGTTATGTATAGCGGTTTCTTCTATTTAGAAAATAAATGAAACAGAAGTTTTAAAGAAAGTCAATATATGAATATACACGATATGTGAATGTGCCCATAATTCGAAGTTTTATAACGTTGTATTACAATTAATTGAAAACATGGTTACAACAGGTACTTCACTTTGGGATTTTAAAATATGATCTACAAAATACACTAAAACATTAGTGATAAAGACACCATGTCTTCATATTTTGTTAAGGCAGTGCACAGTCTATAAAGGGGATTCCTACAATAATATTCAAAAGCTCATTAGTTAATTGAAATCTAAAATGACTTCAAGCATATATTTAAAAAACAACCAAGTGATTTATGGATATCAATGAAAGAATCAATTTCTTTATCACAAGATTACAATGGATTAATAATCAATAATTGTTTTTCAAAAAGAGATTTATCGAAACCAATCGAGTGACTAAATTTCTTGTACTCAATGGATATAATCCTCCTGACGGTGCATATTCATTATATTAAAATTGCTATTTGTTTTTTGAAGTCCTCGGGTTTGATTTGTTTTGATATTTACATAAATGGTTATCCTGGATGAGAACATAATAGTGTAAACAAATTGTGGTCTGGAGAAAAAAAATTTACGTGGAGATGGCAGGACAAAGTTGTCAAAGAAATTGTCTGTATAATTGTTCTATAAAGATAATGATATAGTGGATCTACAGTAGTAGGAGAGGAAATTACAAGGAAGTTAAATATCCTAAACAAGGACTTCCTTGTAATCGGAATAACATTCGGTCTTACAATCTAATTTTTTTTCTAGTGTATTTGAATCCACAAGAGACCAACATGACTGGTTTGACATAAATATAAAAGGTGAGGCAGACGACGGAACGAGCAAGAACAGAAAACCTTCAACTCACAATATACGATACAATAGAAAATTCACAATAGCATAGTATAAAGCTCCTTAACTGCGACGAGTTTAAAATTTCGTCTCATTACTGAATGACATTTAAATTACATTTGACAATGACTAATCTGGTTCGATTTTCAGATCATCACACTACCACTTTCAAGTTGGTCATGCTCGATTATACAGCAGTCTGTCAAGCGTTTCTTCCGACATCACCATACTTGCTGCATCCCATCATTGTACCTCAAACAAAAACTACATTGTTACAGCACCGTTAGAGTCAGCATCAGTGTTGCCAAGCCCAATAAAAACGATGGGTGAGATGATGTCTTCTAAACAAAGGGCATGTGTAAATTCTCCTTGCACACATTCTGTTACATTTCAGCCTATGACGGATAGTCTGGTTGCATACCCAATCTTGCTGTTACCGTTGCTGGAAGAAATCAACTGATGATGCTGCAGCAGTATAAGACGGCCTTCACAACTCGTGTCCGCCGCTGGATGTTGAGGCGGTTACATTAAAGTACTGCCAAAAATGACATAACATATTTTGGCTACACCCAAACCGGGTTTCATCCTCGCATTTTACTGTATTCTATTTATACAATTTACAATCAATGTAACCCCACTGTGCCCCCGCTCGCGTTGTGTTTCCCGAAGAAAAAGCCAAGTCCAAATTCCTTTCTACTTGTTGTTTATATAGCACAGTGAAGTCCACAAGAAGGCTCGCTCCCTATCACGCTTCCGTAGAGTCAGTCCCACAACCGGAAGTTGTCCCTTTGGCATCCCTAGATCCAAGTGCAATGAGCAGCGAAAACTGCCCAGTATTTATAGGGGAAGCCAAAAGTCGGACAACTCCGCAGGTGGAAATTCCTCAAGAACAATGGTTGATCCTGGCGACCCAACCATATCAAGATTCTGTCAAAATCATACCGATTTGGACACAAAATGCAGAATCTTGGCGCCATTTGTTATTGTGTATGGGATAAGTGCTGATGGATTGGGGATGCACATTTAGTGCAACGACCGTTGATTGGTCCATTCCCCAATCCCAGGAAGCTATTGTCTGGAATGACAATTGGTACTACCAGTCTTCAGACCCACCGCATATTGGTCACTATTTACATATATAATAATCAAATACTTAACAATTACGCAGAACCTAACATCTGCTAAATTGGTCATGTTTACCTTACATACTCATAATGCTGTACTAAGCAGCTATATACAATTCACTATCTAAACTATTATTTTCTCATGACCTTGAAATATTTTACGTTATAATTATACAATCATCGTTACTCTAACTGTACTGCACTGTTTATATATACACATCACATTTGTTTATATGAATTCTGGCTACCATTGTTTACATAAGTCCCTACTTGGCTATGCAGTGCTGGACAGGTAAAGGTCATATTTGGTGCAATATACTATGTACATATTTAACACTCAATTCCTGTTATAAGCTAAATTAAACAACAATAAATTCATGAAAATTATTATTTTCATATTTTAAATTTCCAACCAACATTATATACAATAAAATACTGCTTCCTGTTCATATAACCATTTCCGGTTTAACAACAGAGTGATCTACTTGATAGTGTCACATCAAGTGATAAAAGTTTGAGTGCATCAAGCGTTTTACGAAAATCAACTGGACAAAGTGTTTTGTTCTAAGAGCAAATTTTACACTTGGCTGATGTCAATAAAACTAATAAAGAGAACCTACAAAACATATTTGTAAGTGAAAAAATATCTGTATACTCAGCTAACGTTTAGTGTATGTCGGCGTAACTCTACCTACTAGATTGCTAGACAACTAAAATAATTATCAACAAATAAACATATATCGAATTCAAGCTGTCAAACGAGTTGTATCTTGTGAGTTGAGTTGGTACGGCTAGTCAATGTGTTTAAAGGAAAGACCATGTATAAGTAAAGCACTTAAAGTCATTCATGTGTTAAAATCTTCCTGGTTGAAGGCGAAAATGGAAAAACCAAAACCAGCTTTTCACTAGTAACACAATATAATTGGTCAACAGTTTCCGCAAAAATACATATAAAACAAATATTAAGGTACGTCTCGAGCTAACATAGTGTCTTCCGTTATATAACACCTTTACCGGTGTGTAGCAGTTTATACAGCAGACGTTTTACACGCCAAGGTAAGGTATCAAATACTTCGATAGGTTTATTTTCAGTAAATTTTCATGGTTAAGATAACAATATACTGAAATAAATGAAAAACATCTAAAATAAATTTTATTAAGACACTTATTTCTCAACGTTTATCTTAAAAAAATCGTAACTAGTTTACAGAAAAAGTATACAAAATCTTATAATAGACGCATTTGAAAGTATTTAGAAAAAAATCTTTCAGCATATACCATTTGATATAGTCGATGTACTTTTAGTACTGATCAACTCATTTTTGTGTGTTAAGTTGTTGCTTAGTGATGTGAAAAATAAAAAAGGAACATTTGATTTTAAATCCATAAACAATTACATTAGAAAAATCCAACACAGCTGTATTAAACGGTAAAAAAGTGTATACCTTGTTTAATATAGTACTATACTTTAAACTGCTGTAATGGCATCGTATTTCTGTTGACTTACAACTTCCTTTGTCACGATCACACAGCGCTGTTGTGTGTTTTGCTTACTCTCTGACTGGAATTGAGTATTTAAAAAACAGAATTAGTTTTTTTCTTTACGCTCTCTTTTGATAGTGACCTTCAGAAATGTCGACAATGAAAGAAATGACTGTCATAGCAGTTATATGCTTGTTAACCGGTAAGTTAGATAAAAAACAACATAAATGTGTATCAAATATAAACTCCCTTATATGAAATAATGTCCAAAATGAAGGAATTGATATTAAATAAGTAAATATGTCTTAATCGTAATAAATTATGGATACGTCGTCTCACTTTCTGATAGGATTTAAACATAAAATGGCCTAATTACAGATTTTTTTAAAACAACGATGATGTGCTACATATACTCACTCTTATATACGAAAAGTTGTTTAAGTGACTGATGGCTCGTTGTGTCATATACATAATTAGTTTTGTAAGTATGCATGAAACCTGGTACTCCTTACTCTTTATCTTCGTGATAGTGGGCGTGTTATATACTACATTGGTATTGTCATCAGCACTATTGTGTTGCTCGGAGAATCATATCTCACTTCTGTGTTGACTGACGTCCATCACGCTGACTCTTGTTGTCATATGTATCATTATAAATCTTTTAATTGCTAGCAATCTGTTCTATTATATTGTCGAATAGGATGTTCTGCACGTTTGTTTTTGTACTTAGTGTGTCATACTTCACTGTTTATTTTTAGTAGGTGGAGCGGACTCAATTTTTTAGTACTTGGGCGAACTCTGTTTGCTCTGCAGTTTGTAGACCCATTCTTTTTTATTTTTGTCAGCAGATAGGTTGGTCTCTACTATGTTAGTCAGTAGATCTATTGTTTTTGTTAGTAAGTGTGGTGGACTCTATTTTTTTTCTGTCTTTTGTCAGTTGGCTTCAATCAATAGGGTGAGGAAACAATTGTTTTGTGCAAGTAGTTTAAATGGCGGGATCTACTATTACTAGGTGGGATAGACGATATCATTTTGTGTCAGTAGGTAAAAGTGATCCTATTCCTTTGTTTAAGTAGATGGGATTGAGGCTTTTATTCTGTGTCAGTAGGTGGTATTTATCCTTTTTCCCTTACTCAGCAGACAGGATGGACGCTATTGTTTTGTGTCGGTATATAGGATTGATTCTTTTCTTTTCTGTCAGTAGATGGGTCGGACTGCTTACTGTCGAATGATTACATTTAATATGTAGGGTATGCTCTAAAGTTTTCAGCCTATAGATGAGCTGGAATTTAAGTTTTAAGTCAGTACCGTGGGAAGCGCTATTGTTTTTTGTCAGTAGCTGGGCGGAGACAGTTTTTTACTGTAGGTGGGTAGTATGGGCTCAGCTGTTTAATGCAATAAGTTGGGTGGAATCAAAAGGGAAAATTAGGATAAACAGACCCTATGGTTGTGTCAGAAAGTGTGATTGATTCAATGGTTAGACTGGATGATATTATTGTTGTCAGTAAAAACTAGATTCGTATTGTTTTCATTCAGCAGATGGGGCGGACTGTTTTCAATAAGAAGGTAATCGGGTCATATTGGATGATTTGATATACGTACGTTTAGCTCTGTAATATATCGTATCGTGTCGTCTTAGGGAAAACATGAAATAATCAAGTTTGATCTTTTTACTTATTTATCATAGAGGTAACAGGTCACGCAGGACACAAGGAAGCCAGTCACCATTTCCTCTCGAAATCGATGGCTATGGCTTTCATTCCACAGAATCACTGGCTGAATCGCCGGAGCGCTACTCAATGTCAAAATAATGAACCATACTGCGAGAGCAATAAAATGGAATGTATGGTAAACAATAGAAGATGTAGAAGTAAAAAGTATACTGAATCAAGATTTAGTATCATATTTCTCATCTTATATATTACCGAAACACTATTGTGATATAGCTAACTGTAATACAGTATATAAGCCTCATTAACTTGAGTTTAAATGTTTAACTCAAATGAAAATGCTCCTGAAATAAGATACAATAACATGGTTTTGAAAACTGTATTCGATTTTAATCCTGGTTAATATCTACATGTGTTTATGACAACAAAAATAAAATCTTGATATACAATACCATAGAAATAAAGAATAAATACAATTTTGGAAAGATGAAATTCAGTATACCTTTATATCTTATGTATAGAAAATGACACTTGAAGGACACCAATGATGTATTTTTTCAGAATTACGTTGAATCGAACCGTGAACACTTCTGCGCTATTTATCCTGGACATTGCGGGATTGGATACACCTGTTATTTATCTGTGCCATGTCCCGCCCACTTCGAACTTGGATGTTCTGGTAATATATTTCACGTTGTATCAAATAGATACCTTACATAATCTATTATGAAAACATCAATAAAAATACTAATATCAAATCGTTTTTCTGGGGATCAATATTTGTCAAATGAAAGTATAGATTATTTAAACATTATCGCTTTAAACAATATGAAACAAAGTTTATATATCTGAGTGGATGTTGATCCTAATACAGCGATTGAAAACTTCGTTAGCTAACTGCTGAAACGTTTGTGTCCTTTATCAAGTATGGTGACTAAGTCTTTTGGCTTTCTCTTTGTTTTGTTGTTTTTTCTGTTTTTCTGTTAATCTACTTTCTCTTTATTACCATTTTTTCATCGCTGTTTCTTATTCACCATTCTGCATTTTTTTTACCACAGCGAATGCTTGCTTTGGTTTGCCATGTGAACATGGAGGAACGTGTATCAACGACGGTGGACAAGCCTTTACGTGCGTGTGCTCTTCCGGGTATTATGGCAGCATATGCGAATATGGTAAGTTGATACTATAATACTGTAAAGTGTAAAACCAATCAAACACCTCGGAAAGTCGAACGTGAATGGACAAATCTGAACACTCCAGTAGTTCTGCCGATACCGACAGGTTTACAAATCATTTGAGCTTTAAAATACTTTCCTGTTCGGTTTGAAAAACACACAAACGCAACCTGTATTACAGTAAGACATACTCAATCATTATCCGTCCAAGGTTCATTACCTTTAAATGTCTTTTTTTAAATATAGATTTACGGGTATATTTAAATGTCGTAAGAATGGCTTTAGCTATAATCCATCAAACTACCTCGCTGTCACAGCTGTATGACATAATACCATATACTGGTTTGTTGAGATACCCGGAAGTAGGACGTTTTATCCGTTGTTTTGATTGGTTGACTAATAAATCCCTGTGTTTTCATGCTTTTTTGCTTAAAACTGAAAAGTGAAACTTTGTGAATAAATGAAATCATCATACAAGTGATAGGATTTCCACCGATTGTTTTCACAATTCCGCAAATTAGACCCAACTAAATGCTTTTACCGCAATGACGGCGATGAACATCACACGACGTCCCATTATCTTTGATTAATTATTATGACTTGTAAGTAAGTAGTTCAATTTTAAGCTGTGTCCAGTCATGAATTTGCTCCGTAACACAGAGCTAATGAAAGCGGACTATCGTTATCCCATCGTCGGATTGCACTTTTCGTCAAAATGTGTGAAATTTTGCCGCGGGGCGTAAATACCAGTACAATACAGGTAAATGTTTTCTTCTAGGCGTCAATGACTGTGTTATCATAGCTTACATTCCGTGAAAACCCTTCGATACATCGAAAAGTTCGATTTATAAAACTTCGATTCATAAAGGGTTTAGTTAGTAGGAATACATAGGAATAAAATTCTGGACAGGGCAAAATCTTCGATACATTGAGAGATTTGAATAATCGAAGTTCGATTCATAGAAGTTTGACTGTAGCATCACCAAGGTGCAATATCATTGCATGTATGTTTGTATGTTTGAACTGCTGTAACATCATATTTTTTCATGTATATGTGATTTCATGTTTTTGTTTAATTTATCTAGTTTGCCAGCATAATATCTATTGAGTAGATGATCTCTATGCGCCACATGTAATTAATTATAGCGTATTCATTTGTTGTGATAAAAAAATCGAGAAAAACGTGACGCCACCTGAAAGTACATGCATAGTTTCGCAGTAATAACTGTTTGACTTGCAAAGACAATATTGTCCTTGTCTAACATGATTATTCTTTTTTAACTTGCAAGTTGATTCCTGTCTCAGTGACCCCTGCTTGAATAGCGGGACGTGCAGCAGGGTCGACTCTGAATACACATGCTCCTGTAGCGACAGATATATCGGAACTACTTGTGAAACAGGTATAAAATATTTTACTATTTTAACACAATTGATTCTGTTCACACCTTTATATATGCTTAAGGGTTTAACTTAAATATGCCAAGCGTTCATATGGCATAAGGATGTTTAGGATAAGTTAAATATAGTATTATGTGTGTCAGTGACATAGATGATTGCACATACATCAGTGTCGTACAAGTTAGAACGTTATGTATGCTTTTTATGCTAGTTTGTATGTGTCCACTCCATTAACATAACCTGCATGTTGAGTAGGAGTATTTATCATAGATGGAAGCAAGTGTGTTATTGGGAGGAGGTCATTGGCATTTGTAATATCTTCACAATTCTTTTCGTATAGAACTTACATGCATATACATGTACGTGTACTCGCTTTACTTCTCACTTTATCAATTTTCAAATTTGTGACATAATGTTCTTATGGAAATGAACTACCCATTTTACCGACTAATTCAGGAGTGACAGTCCATACTATAAGTTTATATCGAGAGCAAAACTCCTTATTTCTATGAACAGTTATACATCGCGTTTTATGTTTCCCTACCATAGTGGATCCTTGCTATGATTCGCCATGTGAAAATGGAGGGACATGTAACAACGAGGGTGGATCGAACTTTACGTGCTCGTGCACTTACGGATATTATGGCAGCGTTTGTGAATATGGTAAGTTGATAATGAACATGCTGTAAAGTACGTACTTTGAAAATCGAAAGTGGATGGATAGATATGGACATTCTAGTAGTACCACCGATCCTCTCAGGTTTACAAATCATGTTAGTGAGAAAATACTTTCCTATTCGGTTTTGAGGCAATATAATCGTAAGCTGCATTCGGCCTACAGGAAAACAGCGCTGTTCATGGTTTAATTTATATAAATTTTATGTTATTATAGCCTTAAACCCCAACGTTAAAGTTGTTAACATCTTATACTTGCAACTATCTTTGTTTTCATGCCTTACCTATATCGGAAAAATTATCCGATATTTCCGTCAGCAATATTTAGAAAATTGAACTGGTAGAACAATCCGCCACATGCGTTTCCACTGACAAAACTTGAAACATGCCTTATGTGGCCAAATATACGTTCCTTAACCCATAACCATTTTAAGTCAATGTGAATCACGTTTGTTGGCCCAGATGGAAGGTCTTGGGATCTTATTGTAAACGAAAACAGGAATACGCGGAAAAGTCCCATGTTGCAGTTCCCAAAATCTTTGTATGTTCGTGGTATCGTCCTCTGATTTTTTACCATCTTTCGTAACGGTAGAGTATATGTCTATATTACAGCTACTAAAAAAACTTTTATTTGTTTTCACGAAATTTAAGATAACGAACGTGGAAAAAGGATGACGTTAAGTAACGGAGAATTACATATGTTGGAAAATGGTTTAGAAGAGTTACTTCCCGTTGAACATTTAGAAATTAGAATGTCGTTTACATTATCTAAAAGTATGAAAGGCGGAGACAAAGTTAATTCAAAATACAAGAGCTGACACACTATACAATCACTACTTATTACATACATTGTATATATTATGAACAAAGTTGTTTATAATCATTAAATAAGCAACGAGGATGATCTATTTCAGCTAGCTGTTTATGAATTATGTACCTAATCTAGCTATGATTCCTTGTCTTAATCCAGAATACTGATAACTTATTCATTCACGCTAGACAGACGTTAGTGTGGTAGTTCCGAGTGATTTCGTTGTTGTTGGGCCTTTACATTTGGGAACATGACATTTCTTATTTCAATTGATCAATATTTACACTGTGAGTGTCGTTGTTCAAACAGATAACACTTTCTGTTCCGGACACTGTGCTTATTTCTACTATACTGTTAAGGTTCGTCATTCTCTTTTTGTCATTTGAACGATCCTGTAAAAGTATTAAAAGTATTAAGTACGGGTGTGGAAAATCATTGCAGTCTGTAATCGTCAATCTCCATAACTTATTATTGATGTTTTGTTTCTACCAACATTATAATCATAAATAGTGATCACATTATCTGGAATAATTGATATTCAATTTGAATTCAGATCCAAAATATAAAAACAATGAGATTGCAATTGTTATGAAACAAGTTTTTTGAATTTATATAGTCAGCATGATATCGTTCTTTTAATTACAAGACGACTCTTGTTTGAGCGACCCTTGCCTTAATGGTGGAACATGCAACAGTGTAGGCTCTGGCTATGACTGCTCCTGTACAAACACATACATCGGAACTAATTGCGAAACAGGTAAAATATCTCTTTCTTAAGAAACAAAGTCGAACTTCTAAAATATGATTTATCACGTCGTCACCATTTGAATATACTACGAGTTTTGACGTTTGCTTACTCAAACAAATAAGCTCATAATATCATACCAATTACTCTTTATTTCGATTTTGACCAAAGTTTCAACACGTTCTGATTGAAAAATACTGTAATAGTATAAACTTAAGGGCATGCATGCAGATAAACGCAATGGCTTGTTTTCTTGTGTGCATTTATAATGGTCACTTTCCATAACGCTTCACTATTTTCTTTATGCTTATTCGCATTGTTTTCTTATACGATGTTTTTGTAACGGTAATTTAGCTTTTTCTTATTTCTAAGACTAGATGTATTTAATAAGCATTGCTCCGCTTTAGAAACTCAATTTCATAATGATTCCTCACTAGAGGTTTGGCTTCTTTATCTGGAACTGCCTACTTTACCCAGCGACTAGAAATCATTTTCATAATTGATTATCGTTCCTTCCAGCAAGAACGTGGAATACTAGACTAGCCGCTATGTAATCGTTTCGTTTCATCTCATGCTTTAAGAGTTTTAAAATGACTAAAAGTCTTCCTAGAATGGTTCGCAATTTTGTTCATGTTGATGCCACTTGTTTTAGCCGTAAACCTCTATATAAAAAAACATTTGATGTCCTTTTAAAGTTTTCGAATATACTGCAAAAGGTGATACTGATTTGTCTTCTTTCAAGTCTTGTATAGACCTAGTATTTAAACATGGAATATGAGGTTTACCTCTTACCGAATTAATTTTGAATTTTCGAACATGATAATTTAGTTTTGCTTGAGGAAATATATTGCAGTTGTAATGAACAGTGACAACTAATTCAAATATTAGTCATGTTGTTAGTATGAATGATGGACAGAATTCTGAAGATAAACGTTACATTCAATTACTTTAATGGTATCCTCAGATTTTTTCTTTTTTTTTTCTACAGAGAATGCTTGCTATAGTTCGCCTTGTGAAAATGGAGGTACGTGTATCAACAACGAAGGGTGGACTTTCACATGTTCGTGTACATATGGGTATCATGGCAGCGTATGTGAACATGGTAAGTTATTTAACACATCTATACAATATTGACAAGTTCGGAAAATAATTATCCACACAAAGAATCACGCTTGCTGTGCAAATTACATTGATTGATGTATCAACGAAAAATGGGTTACATGAGGCACTTGCTATTCAAATTACATTGATTGATGCATCAACGAAAAATGGTTTACATGAGGCACTTGCTATTCAAATTACATTGATTGATGCATCAACGAAAAATGGTTTACATGAGGCACTTGCTATTCAAATTACATTGATTGATGTATCAACGAAAAATGGGTTACATGAGGCACTTGCTATTCAAATTACATTGATTGATGCATCAACGAAAAATGGTTTACATGAGGCACGGGATGATCAACCAACTCAAAAGAACAGTTGTCTGAAGCAAAACGTGAAACAATATCATCATGTTTGTTATGAAAAAAAATCTTATAATTATTATCATGAGAGCTGTTTCATTCGTTTAATTATAAGACGACTCCTGCTTGAGTGACCCTTGCCTAAATGGTGGAACGTGCAACAAGGTTGCCTCTGACTACGACTGCTCCTGTACAAACACATACATCGGAACTCATTGCGAAACAGGTAAAATATATCTTTTTAAAGAAACAAATTAGGATCACCATATGATTGATCATATCCTCACCATTAGAAAACGCTTCGGGTTTTGACGTTTGTCATCCACTAACATAAATGTGTTGGCTTTGTGTAGATTTTAACCTTAATTTCAACAGGTTTGCTTTCAGCAGTCCTATATATCTCATAGGTGTCAACACTAAAACCCCGATAGGCATCTGGAAGCTGAAATTGTCACGTGATGGAATTTGATAAGTTGATTGTCTTTGTTTATCTCCATTTAAGTGAAGAAGTATTATTAACGTGCGTGTCAATTGAACTATTATTAGATACTATAACCTCAAAAATATTCATGTCGAAGATCAATGCAGATTAGCCCATACGATCTGTTTTGTAAGTAAGTTTGTAATCGTCAATCTCAATATTCAACTGTATTTCCCTCCCTTTTTTAAAAATCTAGTTCTGATACGACATCCTTGTTAAACTTACATAATTGACGTAATTTTTATTGTTAGAGTCTTTAAATTATTTCAACGAAACCTGTACTGAATGCTCCTAAAATGTACTTTAGTTTGCAAGCCAGTTTTGAAATTTCTGCTATTGGTAGTATTCAAAACATACCATTTCATAAATAATGTCCATTTTTACAGGGATTCCTGACTAGTGAATTTTTTTATCGTTTGCTTTATCTAGTGACTATAAACTATTTTTCATAATTGCTTATCTCTCTCACAGGCATGAAATACCACGAATACTCAACTAGGTTCTATGTAATCTGTTTGCTTCATCTTATGCTTCAAAAGTTGGAAACTGACTGTACGTCTTTCAAGGATGCTTCGCAATTTGTTGGTGTTGCCACATACTTTAGCGGTAACCAGCACGACACTTCTTATTTTATATATAGAATTCGCTGTTCCTTCCAAGTTTTGAATTTCCATGTTTTACAGGATCGATGGAGTTATGGGGTTACTTCACCTTCTTCCTCTTTACTGATGTTATCAAAACGTGCTTCTAATATCATTTTTTTTTTTGTATTTTCTTTTAAAACACTGCATACTGATTATATCTGTCATCCAATTACTTTTGAATTTCCAATATTGGGAATTTATTTTTTCTTGGAACATATTTGCAGTTTCAATGAACATCGACGCCTTACCAAACATGATATTTCATGTTATTAGTTTATATCACATAACAAACCGAGAGGATAAGTTTTAAATCCAATTACTGTAAAAGTAATCACATACATTCATAGTTTTTTTGCTTTTAATACAGAGAATCCTTGCTATAGTTCGCCATGTCAAAATGGAGGTACATGCAATAACAACGGAGGCTGGAATTTCACGTGCTCATGTACAAATGAGTATTATGGCAGCGTATGTGAATATGGTAAGTTATTAATCTAAACAAAATATATCGACAAGTTCGGAAAACCATTCACCAAAATAAGCACCAGAGAAACGACGGCCACTTAAATCGATCCAAGTAATGTTACTGGGTAATTAATGATCTTAAAAACCAGTCAAAACGTAAAACAACATCATTATATTTGTTATTCTATAAATTCTTGAAATGAATTGCATATGAGTGGTTTCATTCTTTTAATTATAAGACGACTCATGCTTGAGTGACCCTTGTCTGAATGGTGGAACGTGCAGCAGGGTTGGCTCTGATTACGACTGCTCCTGTACAAACACATACATCGGAACAAATTGCGAAAAAGGTAAAATATCTCTTTCCAATCAC